CACAGAGAGCCCGCCGTATTCGTAGTCTCTATATGCGAAGGCCTCGAAAGCCAAAGCACAGTCAATACACTCTGGGCTACGCACGAGTCCAGCCGAGATCACTACGGCCGGGTCATGACCGGACGCTTAGACTGGGCCGCAGGATGAGACGGGAGTACGGCGTAGAAAAGGGGGCAGGGGGCGGGGGGGGATTATCTCCTGTGACTTGATATTGTTGTGTTGGGGATGATGTCACCCAAGTATCACGTGTTAAAATGGTAGGTTTACTGTGCATAACAAGGCTGGGAAACACAAACGCACTACACAATACTGTACATACATACACAAGTGTTCCCCCGACATGCGTCGACGGAAGCCTCCGATACCATCAATTCATTACCCTTTGACCTTACTCCCCCCCCCCCCAACACACCCCATTCTTCCATTCTCATTTCAAAGATTCGATACCCCTCCCATCCCCCTAAGCCCCCCCCCGCCCCCCATGGTTCCCCCAGGTGTTCGCTCATGGACAGGATAATCCGGTAGATGACGAGCGAAAATCACCACCGGGGGTTTTGTTGGTGGTGGGGGAGGGAGGGGAGGTCAGGTAAGCGGTAGGCAGCAGCCCCTGATGACGTATTTAATGGCTCGTGTACCACTAATTACCTCAAGTTGCCATATTTTTTTTTTCTTAATTTCGCTTTATATCATTTTAATTATTATGTTTTCATCAATAAATCCCGACCGAAATAACTATGACTCAAACCGATAATCGTTAACCCTCGCGTGTGGCTTCGATAACAGCAACAACAAAAAACGCCGTATCTGTTTCCGAGTCCGCGAACAGAACACGTCCGAAACCTGACGACCCTTGGCAATCCTTACACCTCATGTGACCAAATTCACCACGTAGGAAAGTAATCCCGGACCACTAAAACACTCAGGTCTCCCGCCAACGTTCGCCTTTGTCCAAATAATTCCTTGTACACGGATACAAGGGAATCTAGTCCCTCGTGCGTACCCTGTAACCTTCAGGCTGTGAATCTGAAACGAGTTGTTTTGTTTGTGTATAGTTTAACCTGTACGTACTTCGGGCTGTGAAACCCGGGCGAGATTTCTTTCGGTTTTTGTTTTATTCTTGTAGGCTTTGCCTATGCTATCATGATCTACTTCCGACGATCTCAAATAAGACTAAACCCACATTCAAATACTCAAAGATTCTCAATTTTACTCCATTGTGCTATGTAGTTACCAAGCCCCTCAGGGTTCATTTCCCTAGGCCGAAAATATACCACAGCGTTGGCACAGCCTTCCTCTAACCCTCCAGGTGTTGCCACTCGCTTGTGACAGTTGGTGGGCGTCAGCCAAGTACCGTCACACCTTCAGCCTATACAAGGTCAGGCCCTTTCCAAGGTAAGCACCTTACGACATCACCTAATGAGCGCGAACTCGCATTGTCAGTTTGTTTTAATCATGAGCCAGAAGGATGAAGGGAGAGGGAGAGGGGAGAAATTGTGAAACTATACTCATCTTGGCAATTGTTTATATCATAGCCCGAGATGCAAGCTATGTATCGCAGCCGTTTCTCATTTTCTGCAGATCGATCCTCTTATATATGAAAAAAATATATAACCGCATTTCAACGTAATCGCATTGCGTTATCAGTAACAGACCAAGACAAATGAGATATGCGGTGCGGCATTTCTTCTGAGATCAAGAGATTCCTATCAAAGTTTGGATAACATGTGAAACTGTCAATCTTAATTTGACCTTTGTCATGTCAATCATGTCATTCTCTGACGTTTATCAATATAATTAAACATTGTTACAATACATTCAGCTAAAAAATAAATCTCAATCTAAAAGAAATGTGATTCCAGATCAAGGAATAAGCAAATACACACAAACATACATGTACATATTGACAAACATTCAAAAGAAATGACGAGGCTATTTTGGGTAGACTTGCATTGCCTAAAATTAAAATATTTACATCTTAGTAATCCCTTCCGTCATATCAAATCGCTAGTAAACACAAAAATACTCTTTGTCTCAGGCTAGAAAAGTAGTTATGAAACCTTCCTTTTCCGTTACTGAAGTGAAGTAAAAATAATATCAATTACAAAAATCGAGAACAGGCAACTTGCGCGTCTCTTGATTGCGAAATCTCGAGTTCAACCAAAGAGAGACAGAGTGGAAATTAATCCGATGTATCTTCAGTACGGACCGAATATGCCTTACTGATAATATATCAACGACCTTTGACCTATTGAAAATCATTTTACCTCTTTCTGGTTATTAATCTCAATCTCTTACATTTAACTGTCTATTTAAACTTCACTATCTCCTTTAAGCACATGAACCAAAGAATCGAAATTAGATTTTGTGATAAACTCTGATTTGAAAACACGAAATCAACATCGAAAATTTTAAAATCATAATGAAAGCTTACATCGGGGGTAACCTTCACTGACATTAAAAATAAAATTTATTGCTGGAGTCAAAATTCATTCTATATATAGTTTTACCTGCATATCGATATACCTAAAAAAAAAAAAAAAAAAAAAATAACACAATGGCACAGTCTGACCTAAATAACACGAATACAAGGTAATTACACAATTACAATAAACATGGAGATGACCTATACTGACCTGCCCATGATGCAGCCGTCAACGGTGTCAAAACTCAAGGCGCTGTTTATGGCCTCAAAACCCGAAGATTCTGGAAGTAGCTTCATGATGTCTTCGTTATTTTAAGGATCAAGAGACGAAGAAAATAAACCTTCGCTTTTTTGTATGGCGACTTGAGTAGTTGAGAAAAATCGAATTCGCGAGTAGTTTCCGATGAAAATTGGGATATCTTCCAATATCTTTGTTTATCCTTATTGGCTTTTCACTATTATGCTTTTCCCGATTTTCACCAATTTCTTCCGAGTATTCTTGATTGTCTTTTTTCCGTTTTTTTCTTTATCTCTTGAATTAATAGTTTTGTTTTACGAGTGAAAGTCACAAGGATGATCTGGCAAGGAAGTTGATGATGATGAAATTTAACTTATGTTACTTAACTTATGTATTTTACTCGATATGCTACTTGACTTGTTTCTTCTGGTGCAATTTAACTTCACACACGAACCTCTCGCTCTTGCTTGGCTCAGAGACTTGTACACTTCATCTACAACGAAGTACTCCCGTTGCACGATGCTCATAATACCTTGGTTGAAGCGATCAAGAACAGCAGAGAGACGAGAGAACACAGAACGAGAACAGTGACTTCCGGAAAACAGAGGAACCAAAGGAAATTGATGTATTTCTCTTCCTCAACTCCTTCTTCAACCCTTCGGGTTTTGTGTTGCTATGCGCTTGCTCTCCCGGCGGGATTTTAAGCTTCTCGGCGATTTTCTTGCTTGTTATTCCACTCACAGGCTCTCGCAGATCCGTAATGGCATCCGCGAGCGGTCACCGTTGCACAGATAAACGAAAAAAGACCGATATTCGTTCAAAAACAGGAAAATGTAGAAACGCGGGCCAATACCTTGAGCGTTATAATGGAAACTCTTC